AAGGACTTTGTCAGAGGGACAGTCAGCTGAAATTTTTTCCCAGTTGACAACCATCATTTCCAAAATTTGACATCTAACTCAGCAGTTAATTATGTGGGCTCTATATCAAAATATATCTAGAATTCAACCACTCCCCGCAACAGCTGCTGCTACCACCTTCATCTACACCATCTTTTCCTGCCCCCATTTTTCTAGTAGCTTCCTCAACGAACTTCCTGCTTCTGCTCTGCCTTCTTAGTGCTGACTTACATTGGAACAGCCCATGTGTCCTTTGTAAAATTTAAAACAATCATGTCACTCCCCTGCTCAGTACCTTCGAATGGCCTTTCATACCCTTTTCTTCTCTCACATCATTTGACATCACTTTCTCCCCTCACTTTCTCTATTCCAAGCAGAACAAAATCCCTGGCACTCTTCAGCATCCCCAGACACCACCAGGCCTGGCCTGTTCCTACTCTCGTGACTTTGTGCTGTTATCTCTCTCCAGTGCCTTCTTGCTACACATTTCTACCAGGCTCCTTCTCTTGCCGCCTTCATGTTTTCCCTCAAATCCCATCATCTTAACATGGTCCATCTTCTTCTTCTCCATAAGACATTAATTCAAAATTTCAAGGTCTCCCATCCTAGTGCTCTTCATCTTTCTCCCTGCTTTACTCTTCTCCGTAGCACTTTTCCCCTAATACGCTCTACAATTCTCTTGCTCTAATTGCTTCTTCTTCTCTTAGACACAAACTCTCTTAAGGAAGACACTGTATTTGCTTTTTATAATGTTGTATTCCTATTACATAATACAGTACTTAACATGAGTATGTGCTGATCCCAGCCGAACAAACAAATTATATGAAAACGTCATATCCACACAAAAATAGTATGCCTCATGTTCATAGCAATATTAATAGCCAAAAAATGGAACAATTCAAATATCCTTCACCTGGTAAACAGATAAATAAAATATGATAGAGTTGTATAATGAAATACTCTTCTGCAATAAAAATGAACAAATCCTGATTCTTGCTGCAACTGAATGAACTTCAAAAACATGCTGGGTGAAAGAAACTAGACACAAAAGATAACATATTGTACAACTCCGTATCTGACATGTTTAGAAAATACAAATACATACTGGCCGAAAGCACATTAACGGTTGCCTGGCCCTACAAGTAGGAGCCAGAATGAACTGCAGATGGGCATGAGGGAGGTATAAGGTTCTGCGAATGTCTGAAACTGCACCGTACCCTCAGCCCACCTGTCCTAGTGAACCCATGGCACCAGAAACTGGTGAGCCAAGATGGCCGTGTGGGGAAGGAGGTGTCTAGGCCCAGGGAGCAGCAGCAGTGCCCAAGAAAGGGACCCTACAGCATTTGTAATGAAGAACATCAGACTCTGAGCTGTAACTTGAATTCTTGTCCAGAATTCAGCATACTGGCAGCAAGCACATTGTACAGATTGCCACTTGTCCTACCTGCATGTTTGAGGCATGCTTGCTCACCTAGGAAAGTGCAGAGCAGGTATGTGTGTTCTGCTCCCTGGGTGCCAGCCTGGACCAGCTCACAGACAGCCCCACCTGTCCTACACAAGCTGCTTGGTGTGCTCTCTCAGGGCCTCTGAGCATCTCTGAGTTCTCTGTTTGTTGGAACGGTAGCCTTGTCAGCCACAGGCTGCTACATCATGCACGAGGTCTACAGTGGCGAGAATGCTCAGGACCAGTTTGAGTATGAGGTGGAACAGGCCCTGGAAGCCCAATACAAGTACACTGCCGTTGAGCCCACCCAAAATGGTGATGAGACAGCACGCTGGATCACCATGTGCAACCGCCTGCACGAGCTGGCTGTGCTGCTGGCACCGCCTGCCTCTTCACCCCATTGGCACTGCCCTTAGATTATCCCCACTGCATCTCCCTGCCTGCTGGTGTGTTGAGTTGGCCTGCTGCACCCTCTGTGGGAGCTCCTGGCAGTCTGACCCTTGCTGCAAGTACCGCGTGGAGTATGATGCCTGTAAACTGCCTCCACTGCCTCTGCACACACTCACCTCCTCTACCCTGGTGGTGCTGGTCCGGAAGGACGACCTGCACAGAAAGAGACTGCACAACACGACAGCACTGGCTGCCTTGGTGTACTGTGTAGAGAAGATTTACAACACCAGTGAACAGGGACAGGAACAGAAACACACAGCCCGGACAAGACAAGAGGACACAAAGGATTTGGATTGGTGCAGTAACACTTTTTGCCCTGTTAGGCAGCGAAACCTAGGAAAATATTTGGT